TGTAACCCCGGCCTGGCAGAAACTGGACCTGCATGGTGTCCTTTGATGTGTTTTATTATAAATCGAAAACAAAGCTGACTTCTGCCCAGCAGCCCGCGCGGGTGCATTCCTGCGCAGCCCCCAGGCCGCCCGGCAGGGAGGAGAGCCGGCTCCCGCCGCCCGGCCCGCTCTGTGTGTTACCGCCGCCCGAGCGCGTCCCCCGCGCCCGCTCCCCTCCCCTGCCCTCCGGGAAACCTGCCGGCACCCGGCCGGGGGCGGCAGGAAAGACACCTTGCCGGGATGCTTTTGGCCAGGAAAATTCCGGAGCGGCTCTCGGGGAAGGTGCTGTCGGCAGCTGTGATGCGAGGTGCCTCTCCCGGGAGGCTCCTGTCCCCCGGCCCGCGGATCGGCCCGCCGGGCTCCCGCCGCCGCCGCAGGGCACAGGCGGTGTCGGCGCTGCCCGGCCGCTTTTGTGCAACAGTGGCGCGGAGGAGGTGGGACGCGGTTATTAGTATTCACGGCAGATGTATTTTCTTTAACGCAACGTCTTTATTCCAGTTGGTGGCCGACAGCAGAATCCGTTTCTCGATGTTATTTGCATTCCCTGTTTTATGGAGGATTAAAATATTTGTATTCATCCAATCTGTACCGGCCAGAGTAAATTAACTTTTTTTTTCCTCNCGGCCCCGGCGCCCCGGGCCGCGCCTCCCGCCGGGCCGCGCCTCCCGCCGGCCCCGCACCGCCTGCACGCCGGGGGAGCGGGGCGAGCCGCAGAGGGCAGGAGTCGAGAGCGAGGTCAGCGCCGGCGAAGGGCTGGTGTCACGCCTGACGCCGCTCCGCCGTCTCCTGTAAACTGTGCAGGAGGTGTCCGATGCGCTGCTGCTGGTGTAGTCACCTGCCATCCTCGCGGCCCGTAAACCGTACCTGCGTCGCTTTATTCAACAGGCCCTTTGCCTCCTTTTCAAGCCATTTGGGAGCCATCCGTGTTGGATACAAATAACCTAACAGCGCCTAATGATATCCTGTGAAAACACGTTAATTTTTTTTGTTTTCTTTACTAAATGGCAGAAGTGATTTCGTGCATAACGTATTTCTTACTTTTATTGCAAAAAGAACTGAGGAGGCTCTGTGGTTATATAAAGTGCCAAAAAATTCCAAAGGCAGGGAACCACCAGGCATCTCTTTGCTCTTGTACCGGGGCGGGAGAGGGGACGAGGGGCATTTGACATCTTGTCGCTTAAGATAGAGGACGTTATTTTGCAGAGTAATCGCCAGCAAAACACTTTGAAAGTCAAATTCGCAGTCTGCAGCACGTTTTTCAAGCCTCATATACTCCCGTGGAAGCAGTGCTGCTAATGGCAGAAAGCTTGCTCCCTCCTAGCAGTGCTAGGGCGCTGCTGGAATAAGCCGCCCTAGCACTTGCCTGTGGCCTCTGCACTGTGCACACTCCACGCACCCAGTGAGCGACAGAGACTATACCTGCTCTCTGCATGTGCAAAATGTAAGTCCAAACCTCGGCTCCTCAATGTCTTGCAAGCTAGTCCCTTTGATTTGTAATTATTGGAGGCTTCTTAAGTAATTGGCTAGAACTTGCCCGTACTGTGCCCGCGGAAGATCAATAGGCGTGCAACTTTTCATCATCGCGGTCGGCTCTGTGAGAATGGGAATAGGAGCTTTTCCCCTTCCTTTTTGCCGCTCCAGTGCAGCTGAGTACATATCTCATTTAACAATTTGCCTTTAAAAAAATACTGTGGCTGTTAGGTTGGTGGTCAGGAGACAAAGGGAGTGAAAATAATTTTCATTTCAATAATTGCCTTCTGGTCAATTTAACTGTGCCTTATTTTGAAAGAGCCTGTCTAAATGAGATTCCTGTCCCAAATGTGTTCCCAGGCCTTAGCCCAGCCTTTAATTATTCCTGAGTTTTTTTTCTTCAGAATAAGACGCTGCACTGAGTAATCACAAAGAAGTCAGAGAGCATCCTTGAACCTTTTCAATAGCAAAGCCACTGATATTCAAATAACATGCAAGGACCATTTGACTGCATGGGGACATAAGCATTTCCAATTCACTATTTGCATAGATCAACTGTCTTTGAAAAGGAAAGGAGCAGTTGTCTTCCATAACATTAAAAAGCCTAGTTATCAAATCAAGTGCTTAGTTTGGGGCTTTTAAAACGTTTACATTTTATCTTAGGTTGCCCTTTACCGTTTGACATGCAAATTTGGTGCAGTTAATTTGGACAATTAAAAGGATCTTCAAGGGAGCTTTGTCACCGAGAATATTCGGAGTTTTCCCCGCGGACCAGCTGAGATAAAGTTGGCCAGAACAAATGATGTCTAGGAGATTAATTAGATATTTGATAAGACATGAATCCCTAATAAGGGAATACAAGGCACAGGGGGCTGCTGTGTGCTCTAAGTCAAAATTAATAACATTTAACAAGATTTTCATTTAGGCATGAAATGTCTTTTCCGGCGTATTGACTCTAGCGATTTATTCCCCCGAGATCACCTCCCAGCCTAGGCAGCCTTGTGGCGCTGAAGGCTTTTAAAATTAAATAAATAGTTCCTCAGCGCAGTTTGCCTTCACTCGATTTTGGGGACGGTTTCACCAAAGCCACTTAGGTCTCAGCATGGTTTCCGGCTATAGCAGGGCTCGGACTCAGTTAAAATTTGTTGGTTTTTTGTTTTGTTTTGGTTTTTTAAAGTAAACAATTCTGAACCAGAAGTATGATGAGTGCATTTAGCAATGCCGGACCCTTGCTCTGCATTTCAGTCAATATTTCCTTCTCGGTGCCGCCTCAGCCATCCAGTGTAAAACCTTGTAGCAGATGCAAAATAGGCATCGCTTAGGAGCAAGATGGAGAAACCGGGAATTTGAGATTATGATTTCGCTTTTCTTCACATATTTACATTTTGTTTTGTTTTGGTTTTTTAAAGTAAATCAAAGCAAAGGCGGCTTGAAAAGAGCGAGCAAAGTGGTTCACTGCGCCTGGCTCAGGGGCCGGTCCCATCCCCTCCCAGCTATATCATTGCTGACTGTATTTTTAATCACAGTGACTGTAAGGACGATGGGAAGGGGTGCGAGAGCTCCTACTCAAAAAGTGACCCCTGCGAGGACTGGGCGGGGGGAAGGAGGGGACACGAAGAAGAACAAACCCGTGAGTATATTGTTCAGAGTCCTTTAATAATACCCAAATGAAAATATGTCAAGATTTTTTTCCATACAGATAAACGCATTTAATTTCTTTAAGAGACCTTAACTTACGTGTATTTGAGTGAAGTGTTAACTCAACATTTTAAATATCTTTTACATATATACTGACTTCCACAAAGTGCATCAGAAATTTATAATTAAAAAAAAAAAATCAAAACCCCAAAACCTCCCTGAATTTCAGGAATTCACCAATTAAAAAAAAAAATCCCCAACCCCCCTATCAGATCAACATTTACAAGAAAAATAAGGGAACACGATCTGGTTTTCTTTTTTTTTTTTTTTTTTTTATATATGTATATATGCGTGTGTGTGTGTGGGCATTGCGGTTTTTTCTACATTGTGTTATACAATCTATAGGACGACTACCATGGATGTCCCTGGAGATTATCTTTTATTTCAACGTCTAAGGCGATTTTCAAAGGGCGCTCGCCTTTTTGTCGCCGGGTATTAAACAGAGTCGGGGCAGTAGGTGAAAAAAATACTGTTCTGCGCTTAATTCTTTCCACATTGACTCGCAGCCGGCGCAGGGGTCCGGGTAGTGCATGGCAAACCTTTCCCTCGAAAGGTCTGCCCGGAGCAGATCCTGAGCGGCGGCTGTACCCAGGGGGGCTGTAGCGCTCGGCGGGTGGAGGCGGCAGAAAGGCGGTGGCGGGGGGAGCGACATAACCCCCACGGGTGAGGCGAGGAGTCCGACAGGGGCACCCGGGAGCCATCGCCCAACAGGTGACTCCTTCTTTCCCTCCTTCCTTCTTTCCCTCTTCCTTTTCTCCGGGGGAAACCCGCTCCTTCCCTTCCCAGGAGCCTGCCATGGTGGTCGTCAAGTGGCAGCGCAGCGCTTCTGGCCAGCCCCAGGGCGGCGGGGGGAGAGGGTCTTTCCTCTCATCCTGGGGAAAGTCATCAATAAAATACGGCTGGAAGGCAGATCGAGAGCGTGACGTTTAAAAATGTTGCCTCTACATCAGCGAGTAAAGGCATCCGCTGCCCGCTTGCGCTCCCACAGCAAAGTAGGGATTCTGCTGTGCCTAAAGACTGGCGGGCGGCTCTGCCTGCCGCACATCCATCTCCTCGCCCCTTTGTAGTCGGAAAAGTAACTAAAACCCGCAGGAACGAGGCAGGCGGTGGAAAGGCTGAGCGAACGGCGGCGGAAGGGGGAACGCTGCTAAAATCTTTAGGGGGTCAAGTATTTTCTGACAGATTTTTTTCATACTCCAAAAATCGAGTTTTTAAACAAAGATCAATGTGTTATGCTAAAGTGTTGAGCTGACTGTTAAAACATTTGGGGGGATAATGACAATGTAACAAAGGCCTGGTTTGGAGTGAATCATCACCCTTTTAAAAGTTAAAGCAATTTTCAGGAGAATAGCTTTCAGCAAATGCTTTACATTATTCAAAACGGCCAAATAATGCTCTATTATAGAGCCTGAATGCTGCCAGTCAGCCCATAAGTGCAATTTGTGCAAAGGCTCGGTGCCTTATCTCCACTTCTTTATAAAGAGGTGAATATAAAACAATTTCTTCCAAACCCAGACAGAGAGCACGAAAATTGCTTCCCTTTCTGCAATCAGGGCAATTTAACTGGAGTGCAATTAGCACTATTAAATGTCGATTCTGCATAAACAAATCTGACTAAGAAGCGAAAGTGGGGTGAGAACCTCATATAAACTGAAACTGATTTTTAAAAATTATGTATCCGGGTCCTTTACAATTGATCCGTGACGTTTTCATCTCAGAATATATTTACATCATAAATACATTACAGTTAAATCAACGTAAATCTAAAAAAAAAAAAAAAATCTTTTTTTTTTTTTTTTTTTTCCTATTTTTCTTCTTTTTTGAACCCTATTTATACAGATGTTTATGGGATACAGAGGGACCGTCTCAGAGTTGCAGCTGTATTTCTCACCTTAAGCCTCTCTTAGGATGCTTGCCTTCCAAGAGAAAAAGGGAAACGGAAGAAAGTGTCACTCGGTACTTACTGGCCGGGCGGGACGGGGGCCGCGCCCCTCCGGCCCCGCCGTCCACCGGCCCGCCCCCACTGCGGCCCGGGACGCCGTCGGCGGCGGGGCGGCTCGCGTCCCTCCGGCCGGCGCGGGGCACAGTCCGAGCGGCTCCGGCGGCGCTGCCCCTAGGAGTCGCCGGGCCCCGCGGTAGGTTCCTTGCCCGGTCCGCGGGCGGCGGCGCCCACCCCCTCGTGCAGGATGAGGTCGGGAGACTCGGAGCGCGGCGTTTCCAGGTTGCTGGCGTCCGTGTCGCTGTCGCTGCCCTTTTTGCCCCCGCCGCCCCCGTTGTGCGTTTTGATGTGTTTGCTCAGGTGGTCGCTGCGCATGAAGCGCTTGTTGCAGACGGGACAGGCGAAGCGCTTCTCGCCCGTGTGAGTCCGCAGGTGCCGCTGCAGCTCGTACTAATAAGGAATAGCCTAATTAAATGCAACAGTTCACTTTCTTTGAACAATATTGTTTCCCATCTTCTCTCTACGAGTGTCTTTTGATCTGTGCAACTACTAAAGTTGCTGTCTTTAGGAGGTAGAGCTGGGAAACAATTCTTTCATTACAGATGGCTGGGAAGCTCCTGGGTTTATATTCAAGAGCATCAGATGAAATGGCTCGTCTGTTCAAAAAGAGCTCTGGGAAAGAGCTGCCAAATATTTTCCAAATAAATCGATTTAGCAGCAGTTAAATGTAAGGTTGCTGTACAATTTCCCCTGCATTCTAGGAAGGGCACGGAGTTTTACCCGTGGCAGTTATGGGTAGGAAGGGGGCAAACCCTTCCAAGTTTAAGAGAAGCAGGCTAATTTTCTGCCAAACAGAAGGGACATGGGCAGGAAACAGGCAAACTGCTCACTGCCGAGATAAATAATTGCGTCCTGCCAGATTTTTTTTTTTTTTTAGCAACAGTTCTTCCGTGCAAAACCCCCTCCCCCCCTCAATTACACTCTTCATTTACGTGATCTAGAAGCCAGCATTGATTATCAGAGCAACTCAGAGGGGTACCTGGTGATAAATTAATAACTTCAGTTAGGAAAAGGCTTCCCTGCTATTCTGCCCAAGACTAGGTACTACAAGGGGGAAGTATAAATAGAGATAGTGTTAAAATACAGACCTTGGTGCCTGTTGAGTCCACTGAATTCTTTCTGCTATAGAGTTTTTCATTTGTGGGTAAAGATGAAGTGCAGCTTTTGATTAGAAGGAAATCTTTTATAGTTAATAAAAAGGGAATGAGCACCGGGATCAAATAGATAATGGAAATTAAATGAAAATTACGGCACTCTCCCACAATTTCTGCTTGATCTTTCATATGATGTTTGTTACATGGTGCACTCCCCTCTCCTCCTGCCCCCTGCACACTGAGCCCCGAGGTGGAGCGTCAGGCTGGGCTTTCATATTTTCTCGATCTTTAAGGTGACGCTGTTTAGGAGTAGCAGGGAGACCCATATTACCCTGTGTTTAAAAAATTGCCCACCCGCGGGTAGAGGCTCTCGGCCGCCGAGCTGTGCACTTTGGAGATGAAGGCCGACTGCCCGCCGGGCTCCTGCGGGGACACGCCCGCCGCCGCCGCCGAGTTGGAGAAGAGGCCGCCGTAGTCACTGCTGAAGGCCGAGGAAGTGGGCGAGGTGGAAGCCAGGCAAAAGGCGCTATTGGCGGTGCCCGTGCCGCTGGCCAGTCCGTTGGAACCCCTGCTCGTGGCCACCGTGAAGCCCGAGAGGCTGGAGCCCAGGTTGCAGCTGGAGGTGGAGCGTTTCCACGGGTGGAAGCCCCCTTTGGCGAAGGCGCTAGACTCGGGCAGGGTGGTCAGGGGACTAGTGTTGCCGATCTTGTTGCAGGTGGCGGCCAGCATGGCCAGGGGAGTCGTTCCAAATCTCGGCTCTTCCTGCGGGAAGAGACAAAGCCGGCCCGTCAGCCTAACCCTTGTCACCTCGTCAGGCTCCCGCGGGGACACGGCAGAGCGGGTAGAACCACGGCGCAACGAGCGGTACCGCGGAAAAGTTTTCTCTTATTTTAGAGGAAGGCTCCAGCCCTGCCACGCTGGGCGCAACTCGTTTTCCGCCGGGGACCGGTCTCATCGCCCGAAAGATTTACATCGCAAGCGGGTCCCGACGGGGACGAGCGACACGCGTGTTCCGAGAGGGCTGCTCGAGCGTACCGCCGTTAAACCAAAAATCCCGTGGGAACGAAATGCGGCGTCTCCTCGAGCAACCGTACAGGAGCGAAGGAAAAAAAAAAAAAAAGAGATGGCAGCAAGGCGAGCAGTGTGCGCCTGTCGTTTACGGAACGCACTCAAAAGCGTGTCTTTGGAATTAATTCTCTTCCGCTAAATTTATTTGGACTGTGAATTTTAAAGCTCCCTTGTTCTGTTTATCTCAGCCGGAGACACGTTAACAATTCCAGGGAAGACTAGTGTCAAAGGAAGGAAGGTGACTGCAGACTGGATGATGATTTTAATTACTACAATTATTGGGAGATTATTCAACAGCATCATAGATTTGTTTTCTGCCTTGGTATGAAAGTCTGAGGAACATTGTGCGAGGAGCATTGTACGAGGATTTTACCTCTTGGTTCACATGCTTTCCAGTGCTGTTACGATGTATAGGTTAGGCATGAAAAGCTCAGACTGCAGCAGGTTGGAAATTCAGCCAGTGTTAGCGTTCAGAAAGCTTTCTTAAAACGCAGGTGTTTCTAAATAGAAGGAGTTTAATTAGTAAATGCTTGGACCCAACGTTTATAGAGCGTAAAACCGCCTTTCCACACAAGTCCATTAAGGCAGCTCTGCTGACTCGGTAATGAGGTGAGTGCGGTGAGCAGGGCAGCGGCGGCCGGGACGGCGAGCTCGGCGGTCCCGGGCAGCGCCCGGCCCGCCCCGGCCCGCCCGGCTCCTCCGCCCCGCGGCTCCCCCGGCGGCGCCGGTCGGGGCGCGGGGAAGCGGCAGCACCGGGCGGGCGGGCAGGGGAACGGGCGGGTGCCTCACCGGAGCAGCCTCCCCGCGGAGGAGTCCTGTCCCCACATTGCTCCTAACATCCCGCTTCCGGTGCCCTCCTCGCTTTTTATACCACGTTTTTAGCCAGGCGTGACTCAGAATGTTGACTGTGATTAAGCAAGCTGTCTATCTAGAGATAGAGATATGTGGCAGCGTAATTGGCAGGATGATTGACGTTACAAAGTTCTCTTCGGTCCACAATGACCAATAAATCCTCCTGCAGCTTTTGCTATTTAATGAATTGCTATTTTGGTAGAGGAAAATATGCCAGACCCCCATTCCTATGTTCTCTTCTTCCCCCTCACCCTGTCCTGGGATTAGGGCAAGGAAAGAAGGGGAGCCATTCATTATGCTCTTTCTGTGTTCTGTAATTACTGGAACTCAGGCTTAAGGTGAATTTCAGCTCAGATCATGAACCATTTCACGTTCAGATGCAAGCTTGCAATACTTTCCTAGTGGCAATTAGGAGCCTATTACAAGCCATTAGATTGATCAATGTACCTTAAACAATGTGAATGATTTATATGGCAAAGGAAAAAACCTTCTTACATCCATTGTACTGTTCCAGCGACCAACCTGGCCCTCTGTCTCCATTCATCACAGCTTTAAATAACAAAAGCAATTTATTTAGTAAAACTTAAATGCAAAGAAACAGGCTCAGTTCTTCCTCATGTAGGGCATCTGAGCTTTATCTCTTTATTGTCAAGAGATGTAGGCTGGAAGAATTTGAGTTGGTGGGGGGGAAAGGGAGGGGTGGATTTGCTGGTTTCCAAATGGATTAATTCACCTTGTACCTGAAAGAAGGAAACAAAGGGGTCCCTGACTGCTTCCTAAAGAATACACTAATCTGCTGTGCAGATGCAACAACAGGAGGAAAGCAGTGGCTTACACAGGTGTTCAGCGAAGTGTTTGGTTAGATTATTGTAGCCTTTTAATGACAGTCTGGACATAGAACCACAATCCCTGGAAGCCCAAGACAGCCAAGGAGTGGAAAGCAGGCTGGGATGTGCCAGCTGATGGAGGTTCAAGGCTAGGCACAGTCTTGGCCACCATGGGTGGTTATTCTAACCGTTCTACAGCTAAGAAACTACAAAGTATCAGCTGCTATGAAAGCCAGAGCTGCTACCCTGTAGGACTTGGGTCTGTCTTTATTTGCCTCCTTTCACAAGACCCAGGGAACCTCTCACACCTGGAAAATTCCTCCTAGGTCCTGCCGACCCCAAAATGAAGGGTTAGGAGAGACTGGTGACTTTGCACTTGCTACCAATTTATTAGGTAGATAGAGATTCAGTTCAGAAGGAACGGGACCATGATTTACCATTCATTGAACTGATGCCCTCTGTTTCTTGCATTTTTCTTACCTTTTTGCTAACCTTATTTACCTTGATACTTAGCACTCCAAAATTAGTCTTCTCTATACATACAAAGTGACGGAATGAATCTTTGGCTTGGTGTTAAACAGTTCTGACATGCTTCAAATGAAAACTACTGAGAAACAAAACCCCACACGTGAACTAACTAAGCCATTCTTTAAAACATGACTTTAATGGGACCAGTGTAACTGGCGACAGTGTTTGTTAGAAAAAAAGCCAAAACATCTGTAAGTCTTGGTTCAGCTGGAAATTTATTTTGTAATATCATACGAGAGAGAATGTTATTAATGTAAGATTCCAATTACTATTTGTGTTTCAGCAACAATCCGCTCTCTGGAAATTGCTGCAATGCTTGTCAAAAGTCACTGTTTTATCCCATAATTTTCTGCAAGGAGGTAAGCACAGAGCTCCTCAGTATGAGTACAAAGAAAAGAAACAAGGAATGAGCGTCAAGTTCTATCAAGAGATACCACCCTTTTGCTACAAAACCTGGATACAGCCATTCCTGATTTTCCAAGTTGTCCATATGGGATTGATACTACTCATTTATTTGGTTATCAGCTGCTTTCTTTCTTGCTAGCAAGCGATTACTAAAACACAATGTCCACTATGTAAAACCAAATGAGAGTTGCAGTAGGAATAAGGACAGTCCCCCCTTCCCCAAAGGAGATCCCACATAGAGAAGAGCGTTTATGTTGTGAGAAGAGCATTTCTGTTGAGTCTGTCTTACACTAAACCCACTTCTTCCCTTTCTTGCAGACCCTACGCTGTCGATAGCTTTACCCATAGAATCAGCAGTGTGTCCTGCTTACCTTAAACTTTATCATGGAGAAGTCATCAAAGAAGAATAAAAGATCTGGAGGCCTCTTTCAAAGATTTTGTAGAGATTGTCCATTTAATCACATTGTGCTTTAAAGTCTTTTTCCTTTTCCAGAGCTTTGTATTTGTCACTTTGCCTGGGAGAGTTGCTGGGCCAGTCTCCTCAGGACATGTTCTGGCCTTCCTCTACTTTAAGTATTGCTACAAAAGCAGTCTACTTGAAGGGATTTCTGCAATCCTTAACTATACATATACAAAAGCAGCCTATGCTTCCTAATATGCTGTTTCAGGCCCTTACATTCCAATCTGGCTTGCATTGCCCTTTAATTATCTGTCTTCTTATTGTGATCAAGTGAATTTTTACTAATCTCCACATTTATTGTTAAGGTAAATAGATGCTGCTTTTAATCAGTATGGAGGGCCAGACCAATGCAGTTTGAAGTAACTTAAGTCAACTATAAAGGGTTCAATGTGTGTATAATTACAGAGGACGTCAGCTATTCACTCCAGCCTAATTCAGTGTCTGTTTAGAGACAGAGCTCTTCCTTTCCCCTGCTCCCTCTCTCACCTGATTTGCTCCCCACTGCTCCGCAAAGCCAGCGAGAAGAGCACAGTGGAGGCCAAGCCAGCAGCAGCCCTCCTGAACCTCAGGCTGGATTAATTTAGTGGATTAGAACTCCTAGGTGAGTATAAGCATACGAGTACAATATAACACCTTCTTCCAACAAAAAAGATTGATTGCATCTTAGCCTCGGTATTAAATGTGCTATTATCAGAAGAAGCTGGAATAATGCATGCAGTCACTTTAAAAGAAAGCAGGTTTCCTTTGCGAGCATACTTATTATTTCAATAGTATTTGAGAACTAATTTAATAGTGGCCACGATGTTGCTTACTAAAATATATTTGAATTGAACATGTATATATCAAGGTATTTTTTCTTAATTTTAGTTTGAATTATTCCTGAAGTTCTCATTAAATTTACCATTTGTAAAGGACAGATTAAATGAAAATGGCTTTTAGAAAATAGAGCTGGAAATTATTTTGACCTTTGTGACCTGGTGGAGGTGATAATTTGCTGCAGCACTAGATGTTGGACGTATCTGACATTTTAGGTATTCCCTCATAGTTTCAGACCTTTGTACAGATGAACTCCACCTGGGACAACTCAGTAGTCAACTTTTTGTTACCTTCATGTAAATGAGAAGACTACAGCTGTCTTTAGCAATCTAGGTGGACACCACCAATGGAAAATTAAACTTGGGCGAGGGCAATGCTAAGAAAAGAATGTCTATTATCCACAATAATGCTCCTAACATTTTCTAAACAGCTATTACCTGTGTCTGTCCATAATTGTCCTTGTTACAATAACGTTGCAATCTTTCTTTCTGAACAGTTACAGAAATCTCTTCCCACTGACTTTTCCATATGTAAACAACCTATACAGCATTTTCTAATGTAAAACAAATGTGGTAAGTAGGTCCCACATTAAAAAATCATTTTGAGTGGAATGTCTGAAATGCTCAGGGGATTTTGAGGGGGAGGTTAGAAAATACCACCACTTGCACTCAGTTTCCAAATGCATTCCCATATATGCAGATGAGTGTCAGTAGGACCTGTGGAGCACGTTGTTGCTGAATTTGGATTGTTGCTGAGAACAAATAACTCACTTTCTCTTTTGCAAAGTGATGTAAAATAAGCTGTAGTGGATTTTTGTTATCTAATATTTCTCATGGCTTTTACTGCACATGAACGTAACTAAATTTATTATTGACAATAAAAATATTTGTCTATTTAGAAAACAACATGACTGCAAAATTCCCAGTTACAACAGAACAAATAGAAGCCAAAATCTCTATCATCACACCCCTCTATTTGTAATTTTTTTAGATAAAATGT